GAAGTAGCCCTCGCCAGGACGACTCACCAAGGGACCCTTCACTGTTGGTGGGAGGGAGGGAGGGAGGAGCAGGGGATCCCAACGGCAGCCCCTCTGGCCCACAAACCGGACGTAAAGGGGATGCTTCCAGCAACCTTGGAGCTGTGCTTCGGTGACAGAATTCGCACCCGTGCCTGTCACCACCTCCCGGTGGCTCCCCAATGGCAGTTCTCGGAAGGGCCCCTGGCACCCCCTGCACCGGAGGGCCAGAAGCCCCTCCCACCCTCAGCAATTCCCACAGCTCTCTCTCCCCCCGCCCGCGCACGCAGGGCACTCGGGCCCATTTGCACAGAGCCGGATCCAGAGGGAAACGAGGCAATTAATTAACAGAGCTGCCCAGGGGAACTGCTGGCAGGGAGGAGCACTCGGGCTGCGCTTCTCAGGAAAGAGCGCAGCGCGGCAGGAGGCAGGCAGGGTCATGTGACCCCGTTCGGTGGCCGCTCCGGGTCTCCCCGGGAAACTTCTTTATTTATTTAATTATTTCATTCATCAATCCATTAATTCATAGACTGCCCTATTAGTGAATTCCCATGACTGGGCCGTGCACCGAGAAGCAAAGCCCCCCCCAGTCCCCACCCACCTCATTTCCACAGAAACAGAAGTAACAGAACTCAACAGCCACACCAGCAGGGATGGGAAAGCTGAAACGAGAAAGTCAAACTCCTCTGAGGGCCCGCCGGGTCCCAATCCCGCCACGTGAGTAGCAGCCCAGTGGCCGTGGTGCCGCTTCACGAGGGAGACATCCCAGGATGTCCATGGACAGAACGGTTGGGGGGCGGCAGGGGAACTAAGCAAGTCTGGGGAGATCCCTCACGGACAAGGCAGCTTTTCCGGCAAGGAATGTCGTTCCGCCCCCCCGCCCCCCGGCGCCTGGAGGCCAAAGGAAGGAGCTGGAACCCAGGCGATCGATCAGGCATCCTGCCCACGCGGTCCCCGGGCTCTGCCACTCCAGCCGGTCAGGAGGCAGC